CTTCTTTCCTGCGTGCTACGCTTTCTTCAAGGTCTCCGAGAGTCTTGCAAGACACGAAGCGGTATTCCAAAGCTCCTGCTAGCCTATCGAGAGCTACGGCACAAACAGCGGTCCCGAATGGTAGCAATTCGATGGCTTCGCGGAGAGAGGTGATGCTGTCGTCCATGTCTTCTTGTCTGCTGGTGAACTTGAAGTGAGCGAGTTTTGCGACGGCGAGGCTAATGAGTGAGTGAGGGCGGTCGCGATGACCTGGTGGACAGAGATCAAGCGCTAGGCTGCAGAAGTGAACGCATTCCTCTAGACCTTCGCTCTTTCTCTCAAACATCTCAATGAGCGCAGGAAAGAGGGCATTGTAGGCCGTCAGGAAAAGAGGCGTTGAAGGAGGGCAGAGCTCCAGAGCACCCTTAGACAGCGACATGAATTTTTCCAGGTCTTCTGGCTCTTTGGTGCATTTATAACGAGCTAGAAGCCCAGCAGCCGCAGTTATGAGCGCTCGGCCACGATCGAGATGCCCTGCAGGATAAAGCGAAACGGCTCCTTGCGCGTATCCGATCACTGCCTCTAAATCGGCAGGCTCGCCCCGTTCTTCATATCGAGAGAGCAGCGACTTGAAAATGTATCACATTACAGCGGATCACTCTCGCGCAGTGTGCCCGTGCTAGCACAAATGTCATCGAGCTGCCCAAAAATTCAACATTCCGCTCCACCATCGTCTCTTGCACTCATACCTCCACGCATTTCTTCATGTGTTCTCCAGCCTGAAGGGCCCACTCTTATGGCACTCTGCTGAGAATGCAGTGGGGTAGCATGGCAGGATGGTGCAGAACAGTGCTTCCGGATTTGAGACCGAGTTTGTCCTCCTCAAATCGACCCAAACGAGACAAAAGTGCAATCTTGGAGGGGTCTGGATAACATTCAGGTGTGTCCCCATCTTTTCAGTCAGGAAGTTGACGTTGAAATCGTTTTTGACAGCAGGAAGTCAACGGTCAAGTCTGGACACCGCTGGAGATGCCTTCGTCGTCCTTATTGCAGACGACAATAAGCTGCGCCTTGCACACAGTAATCTGTGCACACGTCAAACGTCTCATCAATGTGGCCCTCTGCACAGGACGGACATGGGTGGACGCGGACACTCCTACCGTCAAGCTCAACGCCTGTCCATCTCCATCATATACAACGCCCAGGACACTGTCATTGTCCCTGGCAACGCCTCTGTCTTCACTTCCCGAATACTTCGCCCGCCACGAATTGCGCGCGGTGATCTGCGCGCATGTCAAGCGTTTCATCAATGCGGCCCTCTACATAACTGAACACACCGGGTACGGGCTACTGCCTCTGTTGGACGTTCTTCTCAAGCAGCAGCTCCGTGCAGACCATGCCTCTCTTTGCGCAGGATGCACAGAATCACAGCACTGTCCCTGTCTTTTCCGTTGCCGGCAACACCTCACTCAGTTGCTGGACTGTTTTGCTCACAGGGCCATGCCTCTCTTTGCGCAGCTCGCAGGGCCACGCCTATTCTCGCACAGCATGCACAGAATCACGGCACTGTGCGAGCTCACGATTGACAACAACTCAGAGACGTACCGGCCGCGCGTGGACCTGATACCGGTACTGCACGCGTACCTTGCGTTGCCACGCAACCTCGGCGCGCTTGGGTGGGCCATGACGCTGAACGCATTCGGCGAGCGCCTGACTTCCTAAAACCCACGAGATGGGACAGTGCAAGACGCGGTGTGGTACGGCGTGCTCAGACCTGTACAGGATGCACGGAACGGGACGGCACAGAATGTGGCGTGGTACAGCGTGACGTTGGCAGACAGGACAGACATTGGCAGACAGGATGGACATGGACAGACGTGGACAGACGTGGGCTGACACGGGCGGGCGTGGGCAGATGCACACTGTTGGGCCCTGTACGTCTTTGTCTCTTTACTCACTGAATGATCATTTCTGACATCTGGAACAAGAGTGAGGCGTATAAGCCTGACAACTGGTGCCTCGCGTTGAG